GACCTTCGCTCTGTGAATTGTGCCCTATCTAGGTGCCATTTTGCAATCGCTTTTGCGATCGCAAAAATGGCACCGTTGCGCGGATTCGTCGCTCTACGGCGCGACCGTTTTGCGAGGCACCACTGTATCTAGAAATCCTAAACTGGAAACTATTAGTTTGAAATAGCTTTGCGAAGACTAATTTTACATTTCTTGTTACCTTTCCCAACCATGTCACTGAATTCTTTCTCTCATTTCCCAAGATGCAATCCCACTGCCTCTCATCCTTCTCCTGAAGCCAGTTGTTCCCATTCTTTAAAAGTAGCAATTCTTAAGAAGCAGCCCACAGGAGACTCATCAATGCCACAGACCACTCCACCTACCATCCTGCTAAGTCTCAGGCCTGTGTCAATACCGACCTGCTAATATGGCTTGGCTTTGGGAACTCCTGGCCTGCCACACACAAGCAGCAGTCTGTGAAGCGAGAGTTTTCCCAAAGGCCTCCCAACTCATCAGCCAAGCGACATTCCGGTACCTTCACCATATTCATGGAGTTTTGGCCAGAGATATTGACAGAGTCCTGTACTACGCTCACCTGCAAGGAAGCACAGGGGGTCAACATGTCTACAAAGGTAAGATTAGCAATGAACCTTAACAGCATAAAAAGAAGAAAGATCCAGCAGCAAATCCCATGAAACGTCTCCTGCCGCAAAGCAGACCTTTTTATGAGACAAACAGAGCACTGCAACAGGAAAGAGAATTGTCCTCCCACCCCTCAGCGTGGATGGCTGTGTCTTCCATACACTTGGACAGAATTAGGAGTTTGCTTATACAGTCGTGCCTCGCTTTACGATTGCCCCGCATTACGACAAAACAGCATTACGGTGATCTTTTTGTGATCGCAATTGTGAACGCAAAACGATGGTCTAAATGGGGTTTTTTCGCTTTGCAATGATTGGTTCCCTGCTTCGGCAACTGATTCTTTGCAAAACGACGATTTTAAAACAGCTGATCGGCGGTTTCAAAATGGCCACCCCTAGATGAGAAGCGCTTCAAATGAGAAGAGATAAACAATTAAGATACACACTACAAGAACTTCTCAGGACGGTGAGCACCAACTGCCATTTCCTCTGTTGTAACTAACTACGGTGTATGGGTAAAAACTGAGAATACCACCTTCCATATGTTGCTGGCCAAGACCTTCACTCATCTCACGTTTCACATTCATACATTATAAATCTTGCTCTCCAAATAAATACAGGCATGTACTTAGGAATCTGCCTTATACTGAGGGAGATGAGCAAGGTCAATACTGACAGCTCTGAGCAGCAGTAGCTTTCCATGGTTTCAGGCAGGAATGTTTCTAATTTAGAGATCTCTGCTATTCCCTGGTGGTCTCTCATCGAAGTATTAACCTCCCCACCCCCTGCAGTTTAGCTTTCACGCTGGTACACTGCAACTTTAAGCAGTCATCTGTACTTACTCTGCTTCACTAGCTATGTTGTTCCTTACTTTGCATACAGATGTTCAAAAGCCTCTAAGACTGAGCAAAACCACTCTCCAAGTCCTAAAAATGAAGTGTCAAGCTAGCCAGTGCAAAGGCTTACAAACTTTACAAGGTGATGTTAACAGCCAGTTCAGAGGGATCAACAGGATCAATCCAAACCTTCACTTAGTGGAGCAGCCCCTTTCATTCAGTTGTCAACTTAGTTACCTCTAGGAGATCTTTATTTTATTTATTTATTTATTGTATTTATACCCCGCCTATCTAGTCATTTCGACCACTCTAGGCGGCTAGAGCCATACATGGAAGAAAGCAAACTTCTCTCTCTGTTGCCCCCAGCAACAAATATTCAAAAGTATTCTATCTTCGAAGACAGAGGTTCCACATAGGCACACCGGCTAGTAATGACTGATAAATCTGCTCTTCATGGATGTATATTACTCTTGCACTCTTTTATAACCATCTACGTTAGTGGTAACTGTAAGGACAACCTACCCCAACCCAGAGTCCCTAAAATGTGCCTGACTATAATTCCAATCACCATCAGCGAAGCATGCTGGGTGGGGATTAGAAAAATGCAGGTTAATAGAAACTGTGTTAGCAAGTGTGAAGGCAATCTGAAGTGGGTGGTACTCCTGTGCTCTCTCTCTCTCTCTTTCACACACAACCAGAGTAAGACATTGTTCCTTCTTACACAGAAAATCATCCAAGCTGGATTAGTTGAAAAGACTGCATTGAAAATCCAGCTTTGAAGCTCACAGTTTTCCAGCAAGTTTAACAAGCATTTTCTACATAAGTAGATATCAAAATAGAAGGCTAAGGAATGATACAGCAAAAGTTAAGCCCTCAAGTTCCAAATGGTTGAACAGAAGTATTATAAATGGGCTTAAATCTCTCCCTCACAAAATGATCAGGATTCATAAAGATGCAACTCTTTATGAAGATGCAAGAGACTAAATTCTGTTAAGCATCTCTGCTATCAGAAGGGGCAAATGTCTAGATTTTATTAAGTGAAACTTGAGATCCCAAAGATGCTACAGTCTGTGTTGAATGCTGCATTGCACCCATGGAATGCAAGGAAACTGGCTCTTGACTCTCCGTCAGCAATTAGCTTACACTTAAAAAAAAAGACGCTTCAGGCATACCAACACAACTTAACTGGCAGGCCCAAACGTGACCAGCAAAACCAGGGACTATGCAGACAAACGTGAAAGAACATTTTGTATAACCAAACCCAAACTTGACCCCTGGTTAGCTTTTCTTTTTGCAGGTTAGCAGAGGAAAGAAACAACAGAACTTAAGTAAGCCACTAAGAATCAGACAAACTACTTCCTCAGCACTATCTCACTACTCTGAAGTCCTTGGCATAGTTGCAAAATTTTACCCAGTTTTTACAACATCTCAGAAGTGCAACAACAACAACAACAAAAACCACCTCAAACACTATTCCTGCTAAACAAAAATGCAGTTGTAGGCACCTGTGGCCAAGGAGGAGGAGTTAGCTGAATATATGGCAGATCTACCTAAATGCCAAGAAAACATCTAAGCAATAGCAAAGAAAAAAGAAAAAAATGTTCTATGTGCAGAATTTCTGGCTTCACAGATTTATAAATTTGTCAGGGGAAAAAGCTTAAGACAAACCCTTCGCTGTCTTGAGGCTAGAGCAGAAATTTACAGGGAACAGGACGGCTAGCTGCTTACACAACCTTAGCAAAGCTGGTCCAAAGATTTGGTTCACCACCTTCTGGTCTGCTGGCCAATCGGCAGAATTCTAGAGCTTAGAAAGGTTACTTTTTTGGACAACAATTCCCAAACTTCTCCCAGTCAGTGTGGGAGAGGCAGTCCAAAACAGGAATGCTCCCAAACTCTACATAGGCCACAAAACAAGAGGCCAAAAGTAAGCACAACAGAACAGCTGTTAACTGAACAACAGCTCCCAACCACTCAAGCAAAGTGCACTACACCCTACAGAAGGGAGACAGAGAATCTGCTCTCCAAAGAAGAGCAGAGCACAACCCCTCAGGGTGAGCAAAGACCTGAACCTACAAAAGGAACCGAGATGGCAGAGATGAGAGAAGCAGCTTCGGTGTATTCCTGCACAAGCAGCAAGCTTTTGCACTTCTCCCCTCCTTACCTCACAGAAGAGAGTGAGTTTATCATCTGGAAGAAGTCCATTGGCTTCATCCAACAGGAAATCTCTTCTAATAAACTTCTTGAATCCCCAGTCTTTGCCTTGAACAAACCGATAGGCCCGCTGACTCTCTGCAAACATATGAAAGGTAGGAGTCTTTTAAAGCAGAAAAGGAAATTAAAGCCCAAAGCAAACACAACAGACGCTCTTATTTCTCTTCTGCTCATGAGTAGTGAAAAAACAAATGGACTCAGCCCTCCACCAGGCATACCCATTGCTTTCGTTTCTTCTCCTTTTGCATTCAGGATAGAGAACTTGAATTTGGCTCGGACTTCACTCTTTGGACAGCTGACCAGTAAGAGGTAAAGGGAAAGGTAATCTTTGCTCTCTTCATCCAAGCCCTTTGGGTTCACACGCAAACACCTGCAGAGGCAGAAAACCGTCTTCAGCTTCTCTATACAAACATTCCCTCAAAACCAATTCCTACATCTAATCTTGTTGCCCTAGACATTCAGGAAACCCCCACAGTTATGCATGAAACAGGGAAAGGCTACTTCAGAGAGGTCCCAAACAGAAACATTTAGCAGGGTTTGAATATTTTTCTACCTGCTACAAGATCTACATTTCCTACATCCATACTCCTCCGCCTTCAAGGGTATCGAAAATAGTTGCAACTCGGAGCAGAGCAGTGTGTGAGATAGACTTTTATGTAATTTCTCTTCCATGGAATTTCTTACTGAATGGGTTCTACTCACACCTACGATCTACAGATACTGCTTTGCCAGTAGTCAGGAAACAGCTGTTTCATAGTTCAGTTTAACCAGTGCTTGCATATTTATTTCCTTTGAAGATGTGACTTGGCTCACTTATTTGAGCCTTCTGAATTACTGTTCCTGTGTTTTTTTTTTGTTTTTTTTCTGTTACAACAGGTTGTGGCTTGTACTTAATAGCTGGTGTTGCTTGCCTCTTTCCAAACCATTAGAGATACTAGGCTGTGAAAATGAAAGTGAAATTGAGTCTATAAATTTTCTAGGTCATGTTTCGGATATAGATACGTACTGAAAGACACAAATTATCACTGGGATGCTGGTATAACATATGTTCATGTGGTTATACTCCAACACAAGAATCATTATATTTTTGGAAAGAGATGGGGCACATGATATAAATTAAGATGAAATATATCGATGAGAATATAAATCTATAAATTTATCTTCCCAATGGTGGTGAGTTACACTGTACTGTATATTTGAGTCATGATTCTATTTGGCATTTATGTTTTTATTAATTTTGTTATATTAATAAAAAAGTATCAAAAATAATTAAAGCACATTGGCATATCAGAGCTACAGCCCCTTTACCTTCTACTTAAGCANAACAAACTGCATGCCAAGTATTCTTTTTTTTTTTTTTTGGCCAGTCTGAAAACAATTCTTATCAGTCAAGTCACTACAGTAGCACCTGGCGGGAGGCAGTACTGAGGGTGAGCAGAGCAACCTGCCCAAGGTTTCACAGTGAATATGAGGCTGAGCAAGGATTTTGAACTCGGCTTCAGGCTACTAATTAACACCCCTCTTGCTCTTTTCCACTACATGCTGCAGCCATGTATTTCTTGTTCGCTGGTCCTTACCATTTCAATTTATCATTAGCTCCTGAGGAAAATGTTGAACTTTTGATGACCTCGCCCATTTCCTCCCGGCAAAAGCTGAAGTTGTTGATGGTCCACATGTAGGAAAATTTTACTACTTTAATCTTACCAAAAAAAAAAAAAAAAAAAAAAAAAAAAAAAAAAAAAAAGGAAAGGAAAAAAAGGAAAGCAATTCATATACACTGATGAATAATAAGGCAGAATAAAATTGAATGACAAAAACCTCATGGCACCTTAATTCTGCTAAACAAAGGAATGTGGTTGAGGGGAAAATCTTTCCATTACCTATATTAAGGAAATGATTATGAGTTATATTTTCTTGAAAACCACATTTCTATTGAAAAACAATTTACATAATGCTAAAAAGATTTGACCTCTGCCAACCACCTCCTTTCCACAGCACTTCCATGCTTGCCCCTCTGCCCCAGAAGGTGGGAGGAAGGGTGAGGACCTTGCCTTGTGGTTCATACAGTCTTCACCAAATCAAGGCAGAGATTGTCCTGGACATGTGGCTTGCACTGGTATTTTAACATCTGATGTTAAGCAGGTATGAGGAAATGTTGAAGTATTTAGGAATATGAGATGCAGTCCAGCCAGAATGGACCACTTTGAATCTTTATTATTTCACTTTGAGAATAAATGGGCTTCACTCTCACTCCCTTCAAACCATAAGGACCTGAAAGTGCTTATTCTTGTGACACGTTTAAGTATATAGTGTTAGTCTCATTTTGTTTTCAATTGGGGCACTACATGCCTCTAGGAAAACCTGAATTAGAGAACAAAACACAAAGAAATAGTGTCCTTGTTCTATATACATTTCCAGAGATTTCCCAATGTTGTCCGAAGGTGAAGTCACATCAGTTTATTGCAGTAGAAATTACAGATCGAATTCTGTTGAACTTTAAAGAACAACAAATTTATTATCACATGAGCTCTCAGAAATTATAGTTACTTCATTTCAACTACAGTAAGTACGCAATAGGGGGCAAGGACCTGGATTATTACATGGCCTGTGCAGAATTTAGCAGAGCAGTCTCTGCTGATACCTACTTCTAGAATTACCTAGGACTACAGCAATGAATGCCAGCTGGTATTACAACTATTGTCTGGTATTCTCCGCTCTGTCCAAAAGATTCAAAACCACAGACATACTTGAGTGTAACACCAGCTCTCCGCCACAGGTCCACTTGACATCTCTGCCGGAGGAGGAGGACTCGGTACCCTTGACATCGCCAGTCTGGAGGTCAGACAAGATCTCAGAGTTCGGTTACCAAAATGTGGCTGTAGAGGATTCACTCTGGTTGAAGAAAGTGCAAGACAATGGTTTAAAAACAACAAAACCACAACAGAAATTCTGCTACTTTATTTATTCATTTCATTTTTTCTACTACTACTCTTTCTTGAAAAATGCAATTATACAACATAACATGTATATATAGATGTATATATATATACGTGTTTTTATGGGAAGAACTAGAATGTGATATTTGCATGATAGTGCATTCTAACCAATAAGAATCTGTCTTGCATTACCCAATAGAAGTTGAGAAGATTACCTGTCCGATAGCTACATAAAGCTACTGGCAGATAGTTGACTATTTGATCAGTTAGGCTGTTAGTTGTATGTCAGAGATAGTGTCTGTCAGACACTCTAGAAGTTATGTTAGAGACTTATATAAGGAGTAACTTTGTATATCAAGTATGAAGATAATAAACCAATATGAATAAGTCAAACACAAGTCTACAAAGTACAAAATGTCAAAGCACTGTTTACTTTAGTCTACATGTTATACAGTAAAAGTTCTTTAATCTTTTTTAACCTAGACAAAGTGATCATTTATTTTCAACTACTGGCCACACACAAAACAGAGACTACTATCCATTCTACTCTCTGTGGTTTTTAATATAATGTGTTAAAACAACTGTGCACGAACTCTCATATACATTTTCAATACCCTTTCCCAATGCAGGAATCCAGGAGAGCTATAAAATTATTAAAAAACAAATATAACTACAGATATGATGTTAGAATATTAAAATACAGTTAAACAAAGGATAATGGGCAAAATCCTGTTGCGTTAATGCACCTCCCATTCTCCAGCTGTGTTTAACTGAAAACTTTTATTGCTTGGCTAAAGATCCCAAAATTCTGGGGGCTGAAATCCAAGAAATACAGAAGTCTCAGACCTACTCAGAACTAAGGTAACAGCCAAGACAAACTTTCCCAAACATGGATTCCTCAAGATGTTTTCGACTCCAGCTCCCGCAATCCTACAATCACCATACATATCAGGATTGTGGGATTATGAGAATTGTAGTCTAATGTATTTTGAGAGCATCACACTGGGGCAAGACTGAGCCAAGGAATAACCTAGGTTGGGTACACAGTCTGTCCCAGCTGTGGTAGCTTTATCACTCATTTTCATCCACTTGTTGTCAAATACAGGTTGCAACTTAGCAGCAGCAGCACAAGATACTTCTCATTCCAAGAGTGTCCTTTTAAAACAAGACATGTTCTCCCCCACACTTTGTTGTGTGTGTGGTGGAGCAAATGCTTTTGTGTGGTTTTATGAGAAATCAAATGTGCCTGGAAGGGTTCTAAAAGCATGCATTTCCAAAGAAACAAGAAGCCACTCTTTCCCCCTCCCACTGCCCCCTAACCATCTTCAGCCTCCGCCTCTCCTGCTGAAGCCAAGGTCAAGAGGAGGGGTGCCCTTCTTGGCCCCCAAAGTGCCACCAACAGGAGCCAGCTTCCAACACATCCCCTGGCAGAGCGTCACAGAAGCACCACAAGGACCTTCCAAGCTCAGGGGTAGGTGCCTGGGCCAGCCAGATGGGCTTGCTCCAAAAGCAGGTGCCAACAGAGGGGGGCCCAGGAAGCCCCAAAGGAGGAGGCCCCTTCTACAGTGGGGGCAACTATGTGACTACATTTTCCCA